CAGTACCTGACCTTCTGGGACTGCCCTTTTTCATTAAGCCCAGCAACCTTGAGGCCTGTCCAGCTCACATGGGTGTCAACAGCCCTTCCCTTTTCATTGCTGAGTCGTATTCCACAGTCCTGATGCACCAAGTTCAGTTGAACTCGTCACGTAACAAAGGGCAGGTGTCCTGAGAAATGCCATTTCCTCACTGTGCCAACAAAGTGGGGTGTCGTCATAAGTCTGGGTGATAGAGCCCCCCCCACGCCCAGGCTGGAGGGCACAGCTGGCTAGGACCACGGCAGCTCCCCGCCCGCGGGCATGAGGCCAGGTTCCCGTGTCCTTGCCAGCCTCCGGCGCGGCCTGCGGCCTGTGTCTGCGGTGCGGGTGGGCGGCCGGCGACGGGTGCTCCGCCTTGGGTGGCCTCCTGCCGGGGGCGGGGGCGCTGCCCACTGTCACGGGGACTGACTTACCTTCTTTGATCACATGTCTCTCCACCCCTTTGGCCCGTTCCCTAATCAAGCTGTTGTGCGCTTTGCTTGTTTGTTTCTCACCGTTGCATCTGAGAGTTCCTTGATGCTCGAGATGCGAGTGCGTTGCCGGCTGCGAGGCTGCGAGCGTCCCCCGTCTGCGGTTTGCGCTTCATCTTGTAAAGAGCCTCTTTCAAAGAGCAAACACTCTGTGTGGAGGAGCCCGGCCTGTCTGTCCTCTGTCTCGGCGGCCACGCTTCTGACGGCAAATCTAAGAAGTCATCGTCTAGACAAAGCTTTTCTCCTAAAAGGGTTACAGTTTTGTGTTGAAATCTGCGATCAATTTAGCTCGCGCCCCCAGGGTGAGATTTCGGTGGAGAAGGGCTTGCGGGAGGACGCTGTGTTGCCAGTGACGTCGTTGAAAGACAGTTGACCTGCCATTTCCATCAGGCTGCCCCTCGGGCCGGTCACACAGCCCAGTCTCCGACACCCGGGCTTAAGCACAGCCCCTCGCACCCTGCCCAGGCTTCCTTTCTGCCTCCGTCCCGTCTTCTTTCCAACAACAACAATCACCGGAGCAGCACGGCGCCAGTCCCCGCTGGACACCCCCACCCCTGCCCCGTGGTGTCCACCGTCCCCGCCTCGGAGGGGGCGCGCGAGGGAGGGCCGGCAAGGCACCGGCTCCGGGCAGGGACCGGCAGCGGAAACCTGCAGGCTCAGGAAAAGCCACAGGTGTTCTGAGGGGAGAAGTTTCCAGGTGGACAAGAAGGCTGGGAGGGCGGGTGTCGGGGGGAGACAGAAGGGCTTTGTGGGCGCTGCAAGGGTCTAGACTTAGCCTAAGCGGCGGGAGACCATGGAGGGGTGATGGGATCCAGTTTAGGTTTTGGGTTTCGCCCAAGGGACAAGCCTCTCCATCAACTCGCCCCGGTGAATGAGCCACAGCACAAGTGGGCAGGCCACAGGATGCCCGCTGGCCCGCCGGGCCCCGGGACCGCAAGGTTCACCAGCCTGGCTGCCCCTCCCTGCCGCTCTCCAGATAATAAGCAGTGTGGCCACCAGCGCACAAACGGTCAGCCACGGCCGCAGCGGCCGGGAGGGCGGGTCCCAGGCGGTGTGGCGTGTGGCGGGGGCTGCCGGGAAGGTAGCTTTGCCGCGGTGAACGGCCTCTTGGGGTAGATATTGAGAGATTACGCATCTAGTGTCGTTAGAACGCGTGGCTATAAATTAGGCTGCTCAGAAGCATGGTGCGTGTGATAATTAAGTAATAAAAGTCACCACAGGGGTAGAGCAACCAGAAACAAAGATCCACGGTTTGAAGACGCACCACAGGCTGCTCTGTAAAGGGGCCTCCCGGCACAAGTGGTGCTTCAAAGCCCCCAAACAGCCGCTGCTCAGGCTGGTCCCAGGAGGCCTGTGAGCAGGCGGGGGGAGGGGCGACGCACCAGCGCTCAGGCAGGGGTGTGTGCATGAATATTTAGGGCCCGCTCCGGCTCTGCATCCAGCTCTGGGGCTACAAAATCCCACATGGGTGGAGCGCAGGAGTGGAGCGAGCCCAGGAAAGGGCAACAGGGAAGGGAGAGGACTGGGGCTAAAGGGCACCAACATAGTGCTGTTATCTAGGAAAGCAGATCCAGCTGATTAGAACTCACACATTGTGGAGGCAATCTGGGAAGCAGGTGTTTTGTTTTTTTTTTAATTTTTAAAAAAAAATTTAAATTTTTTAAAAAATTTCCCAATTTTCCAGTGTTGACGATGGTTTCAGTCTTTCAAGACCGCAGTGCAGACCAAATCAAACACAAAGCCAGAGGCTTGCGGTTTGCAGTCTCGGGCCCTTGGGTGCACGGCCTTGGGGGTCGCTTCTCTTCACAATCCCCCTGTTTCCTCATTCCCGTGTCTGTGAAAGGTTCACGGGGTCAACCTGAACTCTCCCGTGGCAGTTGGATTTCTGAAAATGGGATAAAGCGGCGGGCCCCCCGACCCTACACATCTGCACACATCTGTTCAGACAGGCCGGCTGGGATACCCTGGGTCTGCAGGGCGCTAAGAGCCCAGGGATCTCAGAGGTCATGAGCCTGTGCGTGGGCTGGAGTGGGCACTGCGGGCTGCTCCAGCCCCAAGCAGCACGAGCCGGCGCGAGCTCCTGGGTCTGAGTGCACATGCTGCTTGGCCCCTTCAGCTGGAAGCCACTGCTCTCCCGTCACGGGACCTGCTCGGGGCGGCACCCAGCTGCACAGCAGTTCCTAAGTTGTCTCCCAAAGCGAGGGCTGAGGAACCCCCGTTATGTGCCTCCGGGGGCTGCCGTGACACTGCCCGCAGAGCTGGTGGCGCCAAACAACAGGAATGTTACAGCCCCAGGGGCCACACGTGGCGGTCAAGGCGTCGGTGGCCGTGCTCCCCCTGACCTCAGGGCGCCGGGCAGTCCTTGGCCTGTGGTGGCCTCTGCCTGTCCCCACCGCCCCTTCCCTCAGCGCGGCCTGCGGGTCACTGAGGAGGACGCTGGTCCTGAGCTGGCTCGGGGCTCACCCTAGCAGCATCTGCAGCACTAGTTCCCTTCTGTGGGGCCTGCAACGTGACGTGTCCGCTGAGCCCTCCCCTGAGCAGAGCCGCACGCGCAGGCCCCGACGGGCGGATGCATGTCTTTGGGGACCGCCCCGCAGCCCAGCACACCCCGCACCACGCCCACTTCCTAGACACGCTAGAAATGCTTCTCCCTCTCCCCCCTCTGGGGGTGGGGCTCGGGCACCCCAGGAATGGACACCCCAGAGAGATGGGGGAGTTGTGGGGGGCCCACGCCCGCTGCTTCCCTCCGCCCTTGCCACATCCCTCGATTTCATCCTGCTGTTTTATTTTCTATGGCGTTTTTTAAAGCAAATTCTAATTCTGAAAACATGATTTCACACACAGACACTTGCATGTGTCTCTCTAAGAGAGCGAGACAACCACAGGGCATCAGCACACACGACGCCACCAGCAGCAGCAGCTGGACGGCCCCGGAGCGCAGCCAGCGCTCACTGTCCACACTCGTCCCCAAACACGTCCGCGCGGCGGCTTTGCCTGAACAGGGTCTGACCGGGGGCCACGCACCGCCCTGGCTGACGGGTGTTAATCTGGGTCATCCTCACCCTCCTTTCTCTCTGGCATCTTCTGTCCACAGAAAATGGGTCACTTGTCCAGCCGGAACCCGGCAGGGGCATCCTGGGGGCGCGGCCCACACCCCGGCTCCCGCCTCTCCCGCAGGTCGGGCAGGCAGCCTGGTGCCCACGTGGCAGCACCAGCCCCGCGGCGTGTGGCCGGAACCACCCAGGAGCTGACTCTCTTTTCCCCTTTCTGTAACCCTAACATATTTCAATTCAAATGGAAACCCGGAATCCTTTACTGCATCGCTGAGACGTCACTGGAGACCTGCGGACGTGGCCGCGGAGACCTTAGTGACATCAGCCCCACTGCTCCTCTGCCCTCCTGTCCACAGACGGCCGCTGGGGTGCTCAGCCCCGCGGCGGCTCCCGCCCGCCCAGGAGCTCGGCGGCCTTCGGGTTTACTTTGCTTTTTCTCCCCCAAAAAAAATATCTGGTGGTGGCACACACACCCTGGTGGCTTCACACCAGCACGACGGCCAGACCAACCTCGGGGTACACCGCATGTTACGTCTCTGACCACAATAAAGGAAACGAGTCACTGGGGCTGCTGCAGCCACTTCACATCCCGCCCGGCTGCTACCCGTGCCTTCCTCGCGGCAGCCGGGGTGACCAGGGCCGCACCCCACCCCGCCAAAGCTGCAAAGCAGACCCGCAGCGTCTTCCTAGCTGGGGGCCGCCTGCCGGAGTCAGAGCCCCACTTTCACGCACGGCCTGGTTGTCCTATCTGCTTGGCCTGCTCGGCACCAGCCAGGCTGGCTGGAGGGCTGCACTCTGGCGCCAGCTCTGGGTCCTGCCCGCAGTGGAGCGTCACCCGGTGTCACTTGGCGTCAGCCGGCGGCAGACAAATCGCCCTGGGGGCGTGAGCACGCGTGAGCCTGGGCTGGCACTCAGGACGGTGAAGTCCAGCTTCCTCGGGACGTCGCCCAAGGGGCAGGGCCCCAGGTGGGGCAGGCTGGCTCCCGAGCGGCACAAGGGCCTTTCCAGCGGGAGCAGAGCGAGGGGGCAGTGGGAAACACCCCAGAGGAGGCGTGGAGGGCGGCCCTGGCTCAGCCACCCGATTCCCACGGGGCTTCTTGTTAAGGACGGGCCAGGGGACCAGGGGCCAAGGACAGGGGTGGACTGGAGGGCACGGGCCCAGGACAGAGCTCACGGACGGGGCCCAGAGAGAAGGGAGCTTGGAGGAGCCTGTCTGAATTTGGGCAGAGGCCGGGCGCAGCGCTGGGTCAGCAAGCAGTGAGCGTTTGTTGACCGACTCCCACCAGGGCCGTGTTTCTTCCACGGTGCTACTGGGCAGGAGAGGGCCTGGCACGGCCTGGGAGAGCAACTTGCTAGCGCCTCCGCCGGCAGGCAGGTGCCCTCGCGGGAGGGGGTGGTCCTGCTGAGACCTCAAGGCCGGTCTGGGCCTCTCCTCCAGGCCGTCCACCCCCTTCTTTGACCTGCTGCAGCACCGGTACCAGCAGCTGTGGGTGCAGGAACAGAAGGCCGCCCAGAAAGCCATTAAGCTGGAGAAAAAGCAGAAGGTGAACGTGGGCCCACCCCGGGGGGCGGGTTGTTGGGGTTGGGGGGTTGGGGGGGCTGACGTTTGTGCACATTTGTCTGGGGCTGGGGTGGGGGTGGGGTCGAGGCAGGGGCCCGCGCTGCAGGAGGAGCGGGGCTTGCTCTGTGCGTCTGGGGTCCCAGCTGCAGACACCACGTGGGCCCTGAATGGAGCCCCGAAACCCCCAGTCCTCCTTCCTCGCCCCCAGAGCGGCTGTGGCGAGGACTTGCCCCTGAAACCAAGCACCCAACCCTGCTCTAGCATCCCTGCAGAGCGCGGGGCCCTCCAGGCAGCCAGGTAATGGACCGGTGGCCTCTGCCCCCACCCCCCGGCTACAGGTGGTCCTGGGGAAGCTGTACGACACCCGGAGCAGCCAGCTGAGGAAGTACAAGCCGCCTGTGAAGCTGGACGCCCTCTGGCACATGCCGCACTTCCAGAAGGTCAGTGTCACCTCCCCGGGCCTCCCTCCCGGGGCCAGTGGCCTGTACCCGGCCTGTGCGCTAAGACGGGGAGCTCTGCGGGCTTCTAGCCTCCGACCAATGTGGCAACAGAGACGGCCGCCGCCAGCATCCTCGCTGCTCCCAGTGCCGCACAGAGCTCCGCTTGCGAGATCTCCCCGATGCCTCACTCTTGGGGGCTGCTGCTGGCTCGCAGGCGGGAAACGCGGCCGATGCTGGTGGGGCTCAGCTGGGCTTGGGGTCCCAGCGTGGACACTGGCAGGTCGAACCCGCCCCCACAGACGGAGCGTGGATGCCCACATCCTCACTGGGGACTTGGGGCACAAGAACCCTGCACGGTGCTGAGCCCCCAGGGTGGCATCCCGGGAGGGGGGCGGGTGGGAGCTGATGTAAGGGCAGGCGATCTTCGCCCGCCAAGCCTGGGCCTCGTAACTGGGCCCAGTGGCCCTGGAGCCCCCAAATAGAGATTCCTTTCCGCAGCTCTTGGGGGTGGGGGGACAACGCGAGATCTGGGGCGATACAGAGGATGGGGACCGGGAGATTTGGGGACAGTGGCTTTGGGGTGATGGGGGAACAATGCGGGCCCAGCCAGTCCTTCTGGGGGCAGCAAGGGCACACCTGGCCGGGACGCAGCTGTGCAGCGCTGTTCCTGGTCCGGCCGCCGCTGCGCCGAGCTACGCCGTGGTGTAGACAGTGAAGGGGCCGGTGCCCGCCTGAGCCTAATGAAATCGAACAGGCTGCTGAGCTCCCGGAGCAGCCGCCTGCCCCCCGCGCGGCCTCTCGGTCCTGCCCAGTGGCCCCCGTCAGCACATGTCAGCGGCCATCCGCCCCGCTGCCCGTCAGCTGTGCCGCCGAGCACGTGGACATGACCGGCCGCTCGGGAGCCGCGGGGTCACCGAGGCGCTGCCCTGCCGCCCCACCCCTCACTGTTTCCCTCTCCATGTCCTGCCTTTTAAACCTCGTCCTTCTTCCCGCTTCTGCCTCACTGTCCCTGGCTCCCCTTTCTGCCGGGCCTCCTCTGCCTTCCTCCCCGGGCAACCCGACATCCTGTCCTTGGGGGCACAGACGTCATTGGGATGGAGGGCCCATTGGTTCCCACACACTGGGTGCCCCCAGGTGCTCTGCTCTGCAGCGCCCACTCCCAGCCCCTCTGCCCCCTTGCGTCCACTTAGAACTCCCCGAAGCTCCCAGGCAATGGACAAAGGGGGGCTTGCTGGCCTCCCCCAGCGGAGCCAGGGAGGATCCCTCCCGCCTCCAGCACCCCACCTGCTAACTCCAGCCCCCCTGCCAGAGCCCCCCTCAGCAAGGTGCCCTGGGGCCTGAGCCACAGTCAGGGCTCAAATGCAGACACAAACACGTGAGTTTCTGTTTTCCTGAGGGGATCTGTGCCGGCTGCCCAGCCCTTCCGGCCTCCGGCTGTCACGAGGCCCCGCGTGAGCGGCGGCCTCCCTCGTCACTGCCTGTGATTCAGCGTCGGACACTGGCCACTGACGTGTGTCCTCACGTCCTCCTCAGAGCGGCATCCTGCTCCCTGCGGACGCCAGGCGGTGAGGGCTGTGTGGCCCTTGGGGTGGGGCGGGGCCGGGACCAGTCTCTGGCTGCATCCCTCAGGGGCGTCAACGTGAGCCCCGGGTTCCTGGGTGTTTCCCCCGTTGTGGGGAGGTTCAGCTGCAGGATCCCCCCGAGCAGGCTGGTCCGCAGGCAGAGACCCTGGGGCAGAGACCCGCTGCTGGGCGGCTCATCCCTCGTGTGAGACATGACGGCGCAGAAGGGGCTGCAAGGCGCTGGCCAGGTGTGGACGCACGTTAGCGCAGAGGCCTGGGGTGCCCGTCCACTGATGCGGACACCGAGGTTGCCCTGTGAGCAGCGGCCCCTGACAGCCCAGGGCTGGCGAGAGGCCCCGTCTCCGGATGGCTGGGCTGTGCTCCCCCGAGGGGCTCCCTCACGTCCCAGCCCCGCCCTGAGCTGCCTCCCGGCCACTGAAGCCACCAGCGACAGGCCGATGTGGTCACTCACTTGGCGCTTCTGCTCTGCCTCCCCGGTGTCCGTGAGACCACACGCCCAGCCCACACGTCTCCCGTGTCCTGGGGCCCAGGGCGCGCGGGGCGTCTGCAGAGTAAAGGAACTAATGGAGGGAGGAGGAGCAGGCCCCGAGCAGGGGGCGCAGTGCAGGCGCCTCCCCTGCCCCCACCCGCGGGTCCAGTCTCAGCAGGGCCGGTGGGCCAGCCCCTCGGGTCAGCGCTGTCCGCCGCGTCCACCCCGCCCGAGGCCCCGCGGGCCTTTGTGCCTCGTGTCTCCGCGGATCCGCCGCCCCCACCGCCCCACCCAGCCCCATTATGAAGGGAAACAGCGCTTCCAAAAAAGTTGAACCTGTCACGGTGATGGATAACCTAAATGGACTCTCCCCCCGCGAACAGATGTCGACGCTGAACTCTGTCAGAAATAATTAAACACCTTCCACACGGGAAAGCAGCAGGCAGGGGCGGCGGCCGCTGCCGGGGCGGGTCCAGGCAGGCTGGCTCCACTCCGGCCCTGCGGGCGGCCCCAGGGAGGAGCCGCGGGGAAGAGCCGGCAGGAGCTGCCCGCACCCCACAGGCCCCTCCTGGTCCGCATCTGCCTGGAGGGGCGGCGGCGCTGAGGCGGCTCTGGGTGCCCCCAAGCCCCGCTAGGCCCCAGTTTCCTGTCTGAGAATGAGGGGGCGGAGTCGTGCTTGAGGGTCTCTCCCCACCTGCGATTCCTTCATGCGAAGGTCACAGGTCAGGGGCCCCACGGCAGGGGGCCGCGGCAGACCCCAAGCCCAGACTGAACCATCACGGGAACAGCCTTGCCCGCCCTCGGGTTCTCCAGGCCGGGACCTGCACCACGCCTGGCCTCCCACCCAAGCAGGGAGCTCTCCGGCTGGGGGGCCACGGCAGGGGGCCGGGGCTAAGGGCAGGGCTTGGCCCCCGCGGGGCGGGGCAGGGATGCAAGAGGCATATCCAGGGCGGCCAGGCTGGGCTCGGTGGTGGCCCCGCCACTCTCTGTTGCCTGCCTGCCCCATGCTGGGAAGACCTTCCGAGGACACGTCAGGCGGAGGCCTCGCCCTGTCAGGTCACGGTGGGGGGGTACGGCGAGGGTCCTGGTGACCAGCCGTCCGGTCCACCCTACTCCTGGCTATTCATGGAGCTTGTCTCAGGGCACCTGTGCGTCGGCCAGGCGCGAGGTGGACACAGACAGATGGGCGGACCGGCAGCTGCGCAGGGGACAGCCAGACCGGGGTCTGGGAAGCTCCGCCCCGTGGTGTCCAGCATCCACAGCCTGAGATCCCACCCGGCCACGTGCCTTTCACTGGAACCCCCGGGCCTTCCCAGACGGGGGCCGCCCCAGCCGGCCCACCACGCGTCACGCGTCCCTTCTGCTCCCAAGAGACCCGGCCGGGCAGCCGGGGCCTGACAGCAGCCAGGAAAGCAGACGGTTTATCCGTCCTCGGAAAAGGCTGCGGGCGATAAGACTCCCCAAAACATGTGGGTGAGTCAGATGGGGCACCGGCAGCGGGGCGAGAGGTGGGTGCCCGAGGGAGCGGCTGGGGGCTCGCAGGGTGAAGTGTAGACGCAGGCAAGGACGGTCCAGCCCATGTGCGCGTGTGACTTAGCGACTCGGGGGCGAAGGCGCCGTGCCCCGGGAGCGGCGTGGGTGGAGGGGCCCGTCCAGCCCCACGGGCATCGGTGCTAGGAACACATGTCCAGGAGGGGTCCCCGGAGTGGTGGCGGCAACCTGGGGATGGGGGCGCCCCCTTCCGAGCAGCACTAGGCCGCCCTGCACGCGCCCGGGGTGAGGGTTGTCGGGGGGCGTGTGACGACCTCGGCGACGGCAGACACGACTGCCACGGGCGCAGCTCCCGGGACGCGTCCTGTGGTTGGGGGACATCGGGCCACACACGGAACGTCCGCGGAACCCACGAGGCTGTGTCTAAAACATGTTTTCAAAGGGCGGGGCCCCCCTTTCCTGGGTGCTTGAACCTGGTGCCGCCCGGCCCGGCCCGCTCTCCCCACGGCTCACAGACGCCCCCCGCCCCCAGCGGCGGCTCCCGCCCAGGTGAAGGCGGGGCCCACCCCGGCCCCCAAGCGGCTGTCGAGTCCAGCCGGGTGCTGGAACCAGGGACCCCGAGTCCAACGAGGGCTGGGCCCGTGCTGGGGCTCCGTGGCCACCAGGCGGGCGCGGCCTCTTCACGGGCAGCGCTGGCGTCCCGCGAGCCGGCGGCTGTTGGTTCGGCTTAGGATTGGGCGCCCTGCTTAGAGCAACGGCCTCGCCCACGGCTTGGTTTACGGCTTGTGCCCCGAGCGCGGGACTAGCACCCCCTCTTTGGGAAGAGTAACCCTGTGCTGTCTCCTGAGCCCCGGTGCCCCCAGAACAGGAGACGGGGGACTCGGGCGGCAGCCAACGGTGACACCGGAGACGCCGCCGATGAGCGAGAGCTGCCGAACCTAAGAAAAGGCTTTTCTCCCCCCACGAAGCCGCCTCAGATCACAGCTGGCGGGAAGTGGACCCTGTTAGCCCCGGCGCCTGTCTGGCCCCTCCACCCGCATGGCCGCCTCCCCAGAGGGCTGGAGGGATCGTAAAGATGGGGGCTCTCATGCAGGGGTCGCCAGCCCCACGTCACCCCCGCCACCCCCGGGGAAGGGCAGAGTCCAGCCCCCCAGCCCCCACCCCCACCGGCGAGCGTCTGAGGATCCCGCTGCTCTGTGGCATCGAGGGAGACTCGCCCCTGCGGCGAGAGGGGCAGCCAGCTGGGGCGGATGGGTCAGCGCAGAACCGCCTGAAGAGCGACTCAGGGGCCCTGGTGCCATTGACATGGCTCCCCGAAATACAGAAACCCCCATTACAAATCCGACCTGCATGCAGGAGAGCCGACTTGCTGAGGAAACAAAGGCGGCACCTTAACTGGTTTTACGTAACCTGGCGCCCGAGACACAGAATTTCCGGCACCTGCTCTCACTAGGGCA